GATTCACCATGACGTACTTTCGACAGGTGAGGAACTCACACTCTGGCCAGTCGCACCGGTAGCCCACGATCTTCATGTTTTTCTGCAGAGCTGTTTAGCGAAAAAATTTATTAGTTAAAACTAATAAAACAAAAAGTTAAAAGTTGAGAAGAAAACTGCTTACCAATGATGTACTGGTTCTCGCTGTCCCTCACTTTGGCAACGTCCTCACTCTGGAACTCCTGAAAGAGGTTCTGCTTGCCGATGTAGTTCTTTGAGCTGCCCGTCTTCTTGCCCGTTCGACTGCCCTTTCCAGAGCCAGCCGAAGACGAGCCGCCCGAGCCATTGGAGCCGTCGTCGTGCATGCCCGACTCCATGTCGTCGAAACACTCACCGCCGGCCTCGGCATCATCTCCGTACATGTGCATGTGCTCGCTGCCCACTGACTGTCCTCGGTGCAGCAGCTTCTCGCCAAGTTCATGGCCATTCATCGAGTCCATCATCGACCCGTCACCGGTCACCCCGTTGATGGAGTCAAAAGAAAACTCGCTCAGGTTGTGGTAGTCGTCGTAGTCGGGCGTCTGCTGAATGGGATGCTCAACATGCAGAGGGCCGTTGGTGGAAGTGGTGTTGATCATTGGTGCCATTGGAGGAAGCTGTTGGTTGTGCTGCTGAAGTAGTGCCGGCGGTGGTGTCACCTGCGGCTGGCCTTGACATTGGACGAATGTCCCATTCGATGAGTGCTGTTGCATTGGCTGCTGTTGTTGACCGTTTGCCGACATTACTTGTTGCTCGCCTGAGTTTGCAGCGTATTTGGGGCCTAGATAAATGGTAAAAATTAAGAATGCTTTATAAACACTCAAGTGAAATTACCATCAAGATTAAAGGTGTCTCCAGGGTAGTTTGGTAGCTTCTGATCGTCGTTGTGATGTTCCGGTTGCTCGTTCAGTAGTAGTTGCTCAATGTCCGCATCAAAGAGATCAAGTGTATCGACTATTTTGTTGTTTTCCTGCTCCAGTGACTGCATGCCAGTGGTGGTACTCGATTGCTCCATTAGAGTCTCATTTCCATTGCACATGTTTGTCATCACCGAAGACTGTGGCTCCAGAATGGCCGACTGCACATTAACCGATACGCTGGCTGCAGTTCCATTGCCCAAGTGGTGGTTGTTATTACTATCTACCGGACTGGGAAATGAGGAGTTGTTGTTCAGTGGAGAGTTGTGGTGCTGGGCAAATTCTGGCGCTGAGTTGTTGTTGTTATTGTTGTGGCTGTTCGGCCCAACTAAACTGTCGGTCAAGATGTTTTCAGATGGCACTGAAGACTGCTGCTGCTGCTCACAGTTGCTCGAAATGGTTTTCAGTTCCTGCATGATCTGCTCAGTGGTCTCTGCCAGCTCGGCCGGATCAAGGGCGGCCAACTTGTCGCCATCTAAATTGGCCTCGGCAATCATCTCATCAATGGGACTGTTCAGCTCCACCTTGATGTGCTGCTGCAACTGGTCACTGTTGACCGTGGCAATGCTGTTCTCCAGACCACTGTTGGTCACTGAGTCAGTGGTGCAGTTGAGGTTCATCTTCTCCTCAACTGCCTCTTCTTCCTTCTTCACCATCGTCATCTCCTGTTCTCCCCCTTCTCCCTTGACTTGCGCAGATATGTCATCGCCACTTAGGTTTAGTAGATCCATCAACTTCTCCTCTGAGTCCACCTCTTCGGTGTGTTTTAGCGCTGACGCATTAGCTGCTGCTGATGCTGTTGATGCATCGACTGTCATCGACTGACTAGAGGTCTCAGGGAGAGCGACATGTTCATGCTGACTGGCCATGCTGGCGGTGATGTTCTCCAGAGCATCCAGAGCAGAGGAGGATCCGCCCGTGGCAGTGTTTGTGACTGAAGAGCACTTACTTCCCTGAGCTGAATGTGCTTTGTTGTGAGCCCTCTTGTTATTGACCACCTTCACAACGGGCACATCACCGGTGCCGTTCAGCACCGACATCAACGTCGACTGGTGAGCTGAACTGTTGGCGGCGGCGGCGTTACCACCACTCTTCTGCGAGCTGCGAGGACTAAGTGAGCAGGAGGAGGCGGAAGAGGCGGTGGACAGGGACGAGGAGGAACGCAGCGAGAGACGAGCCGAGACGGTGCCACCACTGCTGTTGCAACCACTGCTACTGCTGGTGGTGCTCATCGTGGTCATGTTTGTTGAGTTTGTTGTTGTTGTTGTTGCTACTGCTGCTGATGCCGCTGCGTCCTGGCCTGAAGAAGTAGTGGTCGTCACAGTGGAGGTGGTCATCGTCGCCCCCGTAGTGGTCACCAGCTTCTTCACCGTCGGCGCCTCAGGGTGCTGCGAGCGAATGTGCCCGAACATGCGTTCCACCCGGGCGTTCATGTAGCCGCAGGCGTTCCAGTCACAGCGATATCCGATCAGACTCTTTCGGTCGCCCATGCTGCGAATGGCAATCATGTAGGTGGAGCCGTTGTACGCCTCGAAGGTCACATCACCGCACTGGCACACCCGGGACAGCTCGTCCCGACTCAGATGGCTCTTCTTCTTCTNCGAATGGCAATCATGTAGGTGGAGCCGTTGTACGCCTCGAAGGTCACATCACCGCACTGGCACACCCGGGACAGCTCGTCCCGACTCAGATGGCTCTTCTTCTTCTTCTTTGCATCCTCGAGGCTGTTTGGGGAGACGGCAGAAGGTGGAACTGCCGCCGCCTGTGACTGCTTTCCATGACTGTTGTTGGAGGTGGTTGAGATCTTCAGAACGTTGGACTTGGTGGCCATCAGTGCCGGTGGAGGAGGATGAGGAGGTGCTGAGAGAATGGCCGACATGTCGCCGACATTGCCCGGCTGTGAATGAGGAGGAGGAGGAGGTAGGGAGTGTGTTCGGGGACGTGTAGCTCCGGAGTTGGTGGAGTGGTGCACCAGTGGCGCAGTTGATTCAGAGTGCTGCTGGTGAGCAACGGCGGCGGCGGCAGCAGCCCCGGTCTGCTTCAGCCGAGATGATATGCTCTGCTGGAGTTTGCTCACTATCTGCGAGTGCTTCTTTCCAGCTGACTGGTTGTGGTGCTGGCCTTGCTGAACACTGCTGCTGCTGTTGCACGCTGCACTTGACCGATCGACCTTCTTTGCAGTGGTCGTTGAGTGCTGCTGCTGGTTATGATTATGATTATGATTATGGTGATGGCCACTGTGGTGACTACTATTGCTGTGGTTGTGGCCGTTCATGGTGTGGTGCACAGGGTTGGAGGTGTGGTGAAGAGGAGGCAAAGATGGTGGTGGTGGTGGCAGAGGCGGTGATGACAGCTGCTCCGCCGATGACTTGGTGAGGAGAGAGTTGAGGCGAGGATGCGATATGATCTGGCCGTTCTGGCCGTCACTGATCACCTGCGAGTGACCACCGCCGCCGTTGTTGTGGTGGTGACCACCGGTGAGCGAGTGGTGATGGTGGTGGTGGTGATGGTGGTGGTAGAACGAAGGGGGCGCATGCGACGACGGAAGAATCGTCGGGTTGATTCGCTCCGCTGTCGCCATGCAGGTGTCGAACTCAATCATTGTACAGTAGTGCAGGTAACACACACACAAACACAGACACAGACAGGAGTGCTGAGTTGGGATGAGAACTGATATAATATATACTGAGAGTTTGTAACGGTTTCAAAGAACAACAATAAGAGGTGCTGGTGCTGGTAAGAAGAAAAGGGTTCAACGTTCGCTGTGCAAGTCACACCAGAAGAGGATCATTATTGACATGGTAGTGCTGGTGGTGTGAAGAACTGCTGTGCTGCACTTTGCTGGTCTCATTGTACAGAGGCACACAGAAAAAGGAGGAGGAGGGGAGGGTGAAATTTGGTACACACTGATGATGATGATGATGATCAATACTGAGAATAAACTGAGTGTGAGTACTGGACACACAAGTAAAACAGTGGGTGTAGGGCTTCAGTAAATTGCATCGGATGGCCTTCTTCTCTTCGGTTTGGTCACTGTGATGTAGAGGGAGAGAAAAAGAAGGACATTAGTGAGCTGTTGCAGAAAATAGGAGCGCATTAAAATGTAAATGTAAATGTGATTCAGCGTGAAATGGGTATGAAGTGACAGCTTCCAGACTGCTTCCTTAGCGCACACTGACTGAAAGCATGCATGCATTGCTCAAATCAATCAAATCATCTACTGGACAAATGACCAAATGATGTAGATGCGGCTAAGCGGCAGAAGAGGGGAGAGGAAAAGACACAGGAAAGAACTCGAAAGAAATCGATTTGTCAAAAATAAATTGAACTGCCAAGCAGGCTTCTTAGGAAGAAAGAGAAGAAAGAGAGAAAGAAGGACACCCAGTTTAGAAGCAGTACCTAAAGTGTTGTCATCCAGGCAAACTCACTCACTAAATGACATCTAATTACAGCCTACCACCACCACCACCACCGCCAGCTGACTAAATGTCCGCGTGTATGGCTGTTTCAGTGTGTGCTGTGTGCCACCACACTGAACACTAATGACACTTGGAATGATATCTGAGCAGAGTCTGTTGTAGCAAATTATATTATATTATATTTCACAGCAAAGCAAATTAGCGTGCTGTGCATTTTAAATTAAGGTAAAACTGAATGACGACTACGACTACGTGTGCTCAGTGACGCTCTCACTCCTCTCTGTAGTCAGCAGCATATTAGCGGTACATTTCAGCTGACAGCTAATGATGATGGCAGCTAAATAGGCCGTCAAAGCAAAACACACACAAACACACATGCACATGCACAGGCAGCCATGTGTCGGTCTGTGTTTATGTATTTCCATAAATTGATTGAAAATGAGCGGACATTGATTGTGGCAGAGGCAGGAAGAGGAAACGCCAACAACTGCGGGGTCGATTCTACAACAGTTGACATTGGCTGATCTCTCTACAAACTACAATCTTTTTTGTGCTGCTCTTGCAGTTGCAGTGCAATGGCAATGGTTTAAGCAGTCAGTCATTCTCTGAATAGAAAAAAAGCACAACTCAATTCGGACATGAACTGAGGCAAAGAGGGAGAGAGCGTCGATTCTGTGAGCCATTATTATTGCAACTGCCTGCACTCTTTTTTGCTATTGAGAAAATGCACTGCTGTCACGTCATCAACTTGCACATACACACAATCAATAGAAAAAGAAAAGAAGTTCTGGACTGTTGTTTTGAAGGAAGCAGAGCAAAAAACCAAATCAATCTATAGTGAAGGCAATTTACTGCCTCGCTGGGTAGCTGCAGCTGCTCAAATCCACTCAAGTGAAGCAGGCAAGAGATTCCTCAGCATTCGAAAGGAGAAAATGAAGAAGAAGAAGAAGGAGATGCTAAGGTGTAATCTGGCATAAGCACACATACAAACATTGAGATGGATAATAAAGATATATTTATTGAAGGATGATGGTGATGGAGAGATGATAGGAGGAGAACGTGCACAGCACAGAGAAGACAATTGTCAGTCAGTGGTGGTAGTGAATAAATATTTTTGAAAGCTAATGATTGCCTAATGTTTTGGCGTGGCGTGGTGTGTGCATTCATTTGGATACTGTTGTTGCTGTTGCCTCTATGAATGTGATGATGACAAAAAGGAAATACAGGCAAAACACGCGCGCGCCAGTTTTCAGATTCAAGTTTTTTGGCGGCGATACAGAGCGGAGAGTTTTGAACACACTCACTGACACATCGAACAACAACAGCAGAGAGAAAAGCAAAGCAAAGCAAAGCAATCGGCAAGAGAG